TGCCTGAGCATTTAGGAGCAAACACTGGGCACAGGGAAGGGGATAGTGAGAAACGTTGATTTCTCCGTGGGAGAATATGTTCCCGTCTCACTGGTAGCAAGGAGGAAGAACTCTTCCAGTTGTACTGCCATTCTCACCCTTCTTTTATGAAATGTTCCTCCCCCAAAGTATTACACTCTTAAGAACTACTTATTCAGGAATCAAGTTGGCAGCAGCAACTCAAAAAATTAGATAGAAACCATAGGAGGGCAAAGAGTTTATGTTAATGAGGTAGGAAATACTGAGAAAAAGAGGTGAGAATGTTCCTTGGCTTGAAGCTTGTAATCAATGCCACTGAACTGTACATAAAATGTTGACTTGATGTTTATTTCACTTTGTATATTCTCAAACTAACTAATATGATTTCATAAAGAAAACAAGAAGTCGGTATTCAGCCATTCCAGGAGTTAACGTATGACCCAGAAGCCCTGGTACTGAAGGAAGTCAATGCAGCTACAGTGAAGGCATTGGCATAAACAAGGCACCAGAAATTCATGAAATACCAGTGGAGATGCTTCAATAAATAGATTCAGGGCTGGAAGCAGTCACCTCTGTCCAGAAATTGGGAAGATAGGTACCTGACCAACTGACTGGAAGAGACCTATATTATACCTATTCCAAAGAAACATGATCAAATGGAATATGAAATATGGTGAACAATATCATTAATATCACATTTAGCAAACTTTTGCTAAACATACCTTTAAAACTACTTCATCTGTACAACAGAACAGCTACAAGTTTAAGCTGTGTTCAGAAGAAGATATGAAATAAGAATACCGGAAAGATGTTTACTTGTGTTTTATTGACTATGTGAAGGCATTCAAGTATTGAATAACAACTTATAGATAACATAGGAAGCATAAGAATTTCAGAACTTTAATTGTGATCATGTGGAATCTGTATATGAATCAAGAGGCAATTGTTTCAACTGTACAAGGGAATACTGTGTGGTTCAAAATTGAGAAAGGTGTGTGGTAGAATTACATATTTATCATTTATTTTTTATATTTTATCATATTTATTCAATCTGTATGCTGAAAGAATAATCCAAGGAATTGGATTTATCTGAGGAATACAGCATCAGAATTGAAGGAAGACTCATTAGCAACCTGCAATGACATAAATTTATTAAAATGAAGAGAAATTGAAGCACTTACTGATCAAAGTAAACCCTACAGGCTTCAGTATGGATTATACCTGAACATAAAATGAGAAATTTCACAACTATGCAGATAAGGGACATCATGCTAAATGGAGGGGAAAAAATGAAGGTGTAAAAGATTTCTCAGTGCAAGGACCCCAGGTCCAAATGAATGGACCCATTCACATGTGACTCATCTTGCTTGGTGGTGGTAGGTCTCCCTGACATCCGCTTGCCTCTTTCTCCTTTTCTCTCTTGGAAAAATAAAAGTGTTGCAGGCCACAGCCCAGGGAAACACCTTTCACATCTGCTCAGGGCTGTGATGGTATTAAGGGTGTTGAAATCCCACCTTTAATGCTTTCATTGGTTTCTCACAGCGGATCACATCATGAGGGACCATGACTTACTGCCACATGATGTCATTACATCATGGCCAGACAAGGTGACACATATTAGGGTAGTGTGTGTGTGTGTGTGTGTGTGTGTGTAGCATATTTTAATGCATGATGCACACAATAACTACAATAGTGAATGCAAACATATCAAAGATCATGGAGATGATGTAGGGCTGACATTGTTACACATAATGTTGCCACAACCAATTCAACTGCAACTAACTGTGAAATAGAAAAGTTATTCCCCAAGTTGTCCCCCCATAATATAAGCCAAACCTAAGGTGCTGTTTGCAAACACATGGTCCCTGACGATACATTTGGAGGTCAACTGCTGAAGGGTTATCAGCCATCTAGAGCAATCAGACTCCATTGTCTGCCCCACCCTAAGTAGAGCCCTCTCCCTTCTGATAAGGATAACGGCTTGTTCCCCTGAAGGAAAGCCCAGACACGTGAGGTCAAGCCAACTCAGGGAAGACCAAAGTTAGGCTGCCATGTGTGTATGCCTTCCCATCATGTGTCTACCTATTGTACAACCCCTTCCTGTTATGCATGTGGGTTACCTGTAATTAGCGGGACTGGCATGGTCCCTAGAGTGTATATAAGCCCAGGTTGGAAATACAGTCTTTCTGCTGGACCTGGCTCCGGAAGTCATAGCGGTCCCGGAGATGAAAACGTGCATGCTTTTTCTTGACTGATGTCTAATTTTATCAATTACACAACCGCCGCGTGGACCCGTTCAATTGTGGAGGCTCGTACCTCACAACTAATTAAACAACGTCATTTGCATAACCTAATTCAATCCACTAAAAGTCACTAACGCACTCAGCCAACTGTAAAGTGAATGAAATCTGGACCATGTCAGAAGCCAACGTGATCAGAAATCTGTGGTGGTAGCAAGTCCTATACACTTTTCCATCAACGGGGTTTATAGTGAGTGAGTGGTCTGCTACCTGGAATCCAAGACACTTGTCCATTTCCCCCAGTTAAGGCACCTACCACAGAACTAGCGCAAGGGCACATCCCAATGAGCAGGCTTCATCACCGCCCGACAGATCAAACAGGAGCTCTGCTGGTCCAACCGCTCTTCTCTAAGTGCTTCTAGAGTGTTAGGAATTCCGATTTTACCCAGAAGTCCCTTGGGTTAAGCTGTGCCCACGCCCGGGCAGCAGTGGAAACCAGACTTGGTACTGCCCTCAAGGTCGTCTCCGAAACCCTCTTGGGCCGTTCCGTCCGCGGAGTAGCAATTGCCTCGATGGCAGGGCGTTGCAATAACGTCTGGAAAGCTGACAGGAGACTTTTCGAGAAAGAAAAGGTAATTTGAAGTGTTCTTCGAGGCAGGGGAGAGGATCAAACGACAGCCTATCTTTCCACAGAAACCTGAGGCCCCGCGCAAACCTTTCCTGGTTCGTGGGAGCGGGAGACGGCACCGGTGACGGGGCTGGGCCACACCGCGGACTACAAACCGGGGGATCCTGGGGACGGAAGTGACGTTGGGCGCAGAGCATGCCGGTCCCCGGCGGGCTTGCTCGGCCGTCGGCCTGTTCGCGGTCCTGGGCAGTGGGCGCTCCCCGGAGTCGGACCTGGTGTGCTCTTTGCGTGCACGGACCACACGTTAAGTTGCCCTTGGTTCGAGTCCCGCGCTACGTGCTGCGCGGCCGTGCACAGGCGCGGGGATCCGAGCGCCGGAACCTTAGCTGTCGCCTCTCCGGCGCTGCGCACCTGTGCCGCCGAGCATTTTAAGGGAAAGCCGGGCTTGCCGGTAGGTAGCAGGACCAGAAAGTGAGGGGGCGTCTGTCAGCCGGGGTCTCCGCTTTGGCTGGAAAGTGATGTGCAGTGAACTTGGACGGAGAGAAAGCAACGTGGGAGCATGGTCTGCAGACCGGACTTCCGAGCCGGTGTGCGGGCACCGTGGGGAAGGGGTCGGGGCGCAGAACTGCAAGTGGAGGCGAGGTTTACCCGCAGCCAGTCAGTGTCCCCAGAACGTTCGCACGAAACGGTAAAGCCAGAGCCACTTCATCGTCTCCGAATCGATTTTAAAATTCGTTCGACAAATGTAAAAATACGCCATTTCCTCCAACCGTAGTTTCCGTTCCTTATACAGTAATACGTATTTGTAGTTAAGTAACTGCTTAAGAATTTGCGATAAATCACAGATGTGCTCTGCCTTGAGGATTATGGGTAAAACATCTGTTTGGATGGAACACATGTTAATCAGACTGGTGTTTTAAATCTAGCCAGCTGGCAACCATGAATGAATGGATGAAGAAAAGCCCTGTAGAATGGCAAGATTACATTTACAAACAAGTCAAGGTGACAGCCAGTGAGAAGAAGGAGTATAAAGGGTGGGTTTTAACCACAGATCCAGTCTCTGCCAGGTGAGTATGTGTCGCATTTCCCTGAAACATGACATCCATATGTATTGCCTGTATATATGTATGTCCAAACCTAGAAAACGTAAATGAAAGGCTAGTATTCTCATATAATAATTTCATTTTCCCAGAATCTAAGTCCAGTTTAAATTCTGGATGAATCTGTCAGACAGCCAGATACTTGGTTGGAATCAGAAATGTAGCGCTTACTACATTTTTAACAGAAGATGTCATACATATAGAAGTGTTCTAACACTAACCTTATCCACTTGAAACTTCAAATAATTTTCAAGCACTGTACCATTTTACTTATAAATATCTCCATGTATTTTTAACAGATAAATAAATATAACCACGCGACCATGGTAACTTCTAGCAAAGTTAATAATTCTGTTAGCTCATTCACAAGCTGAGATCCGATTTTCCTGATTGTCTCAAAAGTTATCTTTTTAAGGTGGTGGAGAAAAGAAAAGTTATCTTTTTGTATTGGCATTTAGATCCTGAGGTTTGATTAGTGTCTGGTTTGGGGTTTGTTTTTTTTCCCAGGAATACTTCAAAGTTTATAGACACACACACTGTTTTGGGGGATCATTTTAGATTTACAGGAAGGCTGCAGAGGAAGTCCAGCATATACCCTTTGCCTAGCTTCCCTCCATGGCACCATCTTAACGTCATCCTTGTGCATGTGTGAGCTGTCATAATTTACCAGAACTAAACCACAAACTTGATGTGTCCTAGAAGCCGTGTGGGATCTCACAAGTTGGTCATAATGTCTACTTCTTGTCCTTAGCTGCCAAAGAGTCTGTTCCAACTCCTCCTCACCCTATGGGAC